CGTTGTCGCAGTTATTATCATTATAATAATAATAATAATAATAATAATGATCATGATAATAGTAATGATGGTAATAATAATAATGATAATAATAATAATAATGATAATAATAATGATAACAACAACAACAACAATAATAGTAGTAATAACAATATAATATTAATATTGATAATAAAAAAAAAATAATGATGATGAAGATGATGATAATAATAATAATAATAATAATAATAATAATGATAATGAATATAATTATGATTATTATTGTAATAAAGATAATAATAACAATGGTAAATATAATGATGATAATGATAATAAGAATAAGAACACTGATACTGATAATGACAATAAAGAAAATTATTATATCGATAAGATATAAGCTGATAATGATAATAATAAAAATAATAATAGTACTGCTACTACTACTAATAATAACAATAACAATAATGTTGATAATAATAATAATGATAATAATAATAATAATGATGATGACAATAATGATAATAATGGTAATGATAATAATAATTAGATAATGACAATAATAATAACATCAATAACAATAACAATGATGATGCCAATAACAATAGTAATCATAATAATGATAAAGATAATCATAATGCTAATAAAGATAATAATAGTAAAAATGATATAAATAAGAATAATAAAATCAATGAATATTAATAAATAATAAGGATAATAATAATAATAAAATGATAGTAATAATAATGATAAAATAATAGTAATGATAATTACAACAATAACCATAACAATGACAAGAAAAAGAAGAACAGCAATAATAGATATCATGATCATTATTGATTTTATCAATATCATCACTTTTGTCACTATTACCATCACAATTATCATCATCATTAGCATTCTATATACATAGTTTTGTTTTTCTCTCCAAACTGTACTGGAAGAAAATCATTACGAAGTGTTATGCAATTCTGAATTCCGTTCGTGAAAGAAGTATATTAGTGATGATGATAAAAACTTTTGAATTCCTGGAAGCGTAACAAAGGCACGTATCATTAACTTAATAACAAGTTGCAAGTTGAAGATACACTACATATTTTTTTTTTTTTTTACATTTCTAAACTGTGTGTTGACTTATTTTCTTTTTTTTACTCTCTTACACTTGTATGTCCATTATCTCAACCATATTTTGAGATGGGTACACTGTTGTTCTGAACTTCTAGAAATAAGAATTGGTTAAAAAACATGTGAAAATTACTGTAGTCTATTTTGTTTTTATTATTATATACTGACCTTAACAAATCTTAAATAAAGTGTTCGTAACTTGGCAAAAAGCGTATGTAAAAGGGAGCGAATGTTTTTTTTGTATATGAATATAGTATATATCATATACACTATATACACTACATTGAAGAATCTACATTGCCATCGATACGAATTAAAAATACCCCCCATACCTTTTCTTCAGGAAAACTTTGTGACTATCGCTAATTAAAAAGACCACGAGAGCGTTCAGTGGACACTAGCCATTCTCCATCTGACAAATAAACGTTTATCTCTTTTAAACTATTTTAGATTTTAATATGTAAAAAAAAACTACTGCACATCTTTATCAATTGCTACTAAAAACTAGTGCACATTTTTATCAGCTGCCACTAACGGATAACAAATGTATAAATATATAAAATCCGTATATCAAACATCTTTCCTCCTGTCTAGGAAAATTGGAGAAGAGTCACATGCTAGAAGACTATCAGCCAATACAGTGTAGTATGTGGATCACGTAACCGAAGCTAAAGCCGATGCTAATAATAATTTGAGATTGTACATTCTTTCCGAGAGAGCGAGAGAGAGAGAGGACGAGAGAAAGAGAGAAAGAGAGAAAGAGAGAAAGAGAGAGAGAGAGAGAGAGAGAGAGAGAGAGAGAGAGAGAGAGAGAGAGAGAAGAGAGAGAGAGAGAGAGAGAGAGAGAGAGAGAGAGAGAGAGAGAGAGAGAGAGAGAGAGAGAGAGAGAGAGAGAGAGAGAGAGAGAGAGAGAGAGAGAGAGAGAGAGAGAGAGAGAGAGAGAGAGAGAGAGAGAGACGGATAGGGGGGGGGTAGATAGCTAATTAGACAGATATATAGATAGATGGAGACAGATAGATAGATAAATAGAGAAAGAGGTATGGGAAAGGAACGGGGAGAATGATTTTTTAAAAAGTACCTAATTAATCATGCAACTTCCTCAACTTTGTCTCAACAACAACAACAAAAAAAAACATGAAATAAAATACTGACAGTCGACCACCTCAAATATGCTCCTTAAGGTTAACCAAATCGAATAGAGACGAATTTGAATAAAAAAGTTTCGTGTGAATTTTTAATGAGACAGAGATCCAAGACGCTCTTGTGTGCTATTTTTTCCTTCTTTTTTTTTTTCCTTTTTTCAGGTCGATCCTCGTCGGTTCACACACAAAAAAAACGTAGCAGGGAAAAAAAAAACCTAAATGGTATTTGAAAGATAAAATGGCGATGTTTGATGAAAATGAGTTTGTTGTCGAAGCTAATTACTCATTCATGACTCGGCAGGTGGGACAGCGCTCCCTGCCACTCTTCCTCATTTTTCTTCCAGTAGGCTGGTGTTCCCTTGATGTATTAAACACACACACACACACACACACACACACACACACACACACACACACACACACACACACACACACACACACACACACACACACACATACTCACACATACTCACAATGTCCTTCCGAATATGATTTATATTCAAAACATACTCAGAACATCCAGTAGACCAGTAGAGCATTGGATACTAATGGAAATGTATGAAGGAAAGCCCAACATTCACAATGCACACACACACACACACACACATACACACACACACACACACACAACACACACACGCACACACACACACACACACACACGCACACACACACACACACACACACACACACACGCAAAAACACACACACACAGACACAAACACAAATACACACACACACACACACACACACACACACACACACACACACACACACACACACTCAAATTAAACATACTCATGTCATACTAGATTTACCAGACTCCAGAAAAACAAGCATGATATAAAAAGAATGATAATTATCACTGACTGACTTAAAATGGACAACGGACATTCCCACCATGAATTAGTCACTACCCCCCCCCCCAAAAAAAAAAAAAAAAAAAAAAAAAAATCAGTCATTTCCAGATATTACCTATTATGATTTACTTCCGCAAACAAAGACGCAAAAACGGTCCAAATATTAATAAATACAGAATAAATTTGCTGACTGGAATTTTCTGCGCACTGTAGTCTGCAATCAACAATCTCTATTGACCAGAACATGATACCTACTCAGAAGCAGGAAAGCGGAGAGGGAGTATCAGTCACAACAGCCTGAATCTCCTCCCAGAAAAGCCCTACCTCACTTCACTCCCCTCCCTTAACCAATACATCTACCACCCCTTCCCTTTTTTGTATTCTCTCGCAAGAACGTCACACACATACTACCCACAGCATTATGAACACACATATAACCTTTCCCCTTCCTACAGCCTCTACGCCTATATCCATGACCAATATCCTTGCTGGCACTACCCTACTCCCAACATATTCTTTGACAGCCTATCCCCTCCATCTGCACCTGCTCCAAGTCACCAGACAGATGCCTTTGCTGACGCGCTAGTCTGCTTCTCCTCGGAGCCATCCAAGCGCTTTGCCAACGGGTGCTGAAACATCGGTGTCACATAGAAGGAGATAAATAAAGTACAATAAGAGAGAGATAGAAAAAAAAAATCATAAAACCTAATTGCCACTACGAAGATTCAACACATCACCAGGTGTCTGGCGTCCCTCCCCCTCCCCTACTATCTTTACGACACTCCATGTGCCTACGCCCGTTAGCTATAACCACACGGAACAAGGAAAAACTAGGCAGTCACAGCCACACCAGCAAGACGAGGAAGGCTACATAACCTCCAGAAAACAAAAGAAAAACATACACTCATTACAAGTTGTTACCCTGAAACAGATGAAGAAGACACTGAAAACGTCAATTAGTAAACTTCAATTAGTAAAAAAAATATATATATATAGCAAATGCAAAAAAAAAAACATTTAAAAAAACAAAAATGACACACGATTGTCATTCTAATTTGACAGTAACAACAAGGGCCAAAAAATAAATCTACAATCATTCACAGACGTTTTTCCATGTAGTCTAAATGTATTCCCCAAAAAGATACAACTACAAAAAACGTCCAGTCTCTTTGATACCGTTTAAACATTCAGAAAAAAAAACCTGTTGTTAAACTTCTAGTTCAACCAGAACAGAACACACCAATACACAGCCTTCCATTGGTCACTTCGAAGATATGGAGACAATTATTATCGAGAGAAATATCGATAACCTTTGCATTAGTGAAGCCTGACTTCATCAAAAAAGCTAAGGAGTTTCACGTACATATATGTGATGCAGGGCTAGGTATAGGAGGTTGCATATGTGTAGAGATGTCCCTTAAATTATATAAAATTTCCACTGTAGCTACTAAAGTTCCAGCTATAGAGGACATATGACTAACCGTACAAAGCAGTTTATATATATATATATATATATATATATATATATATATATATATATATATATATATATATATATATATATATATATATATATATATATATATATATACACACACACACACACACATATATATAAATATATATATATATATATATATATATATATATATATATATATATATATATATATATATATATATACACACACATATATATAATATATATATATATATATATATATATATATATATATATATATATATATATATATATATATAATTTTTTTTTTTTTATTATTATTATTATTACTGTCACTGTGTCCCGTATTCGTGTTGACAAATGCTGAGAAGGTATGAGTGAGAATGAATATCTTCACAATACAAGAGATGTATTTAACCAATTTCGAATGTATCTT